CCTATCAGTGCTGCCTATCAGTGCCCATCAGTGCTGCCTATAAGTGCCCATCAGTTCTGCCTATAAGTGCCCATCAGTTCTGCCTATCAGTGCCACCTCATCAGTGCCCATCAGTACTGCCTATAAGTGTAGCCTCATCAATGCACATCGCTGAAGGAGAAAATTTTCTTGTTTGTTAAATTTTATAAAAGAAACAAAGAAAAACTTTTTTTTTTAATTTTTTGCTCTTTTTTTCTTTATAGTGCAAAAAATAAAAAACACCATGGTGATTAAATACTAACATTTAGAAACTCTACTAGCTTGGGACTCAAAGGGTTAAAGCAGGCGGCGAGACGACATCCCCTCCTCACTGCCTGTCAAATGGTCTCTGAAGCGTGATCCAAATGCTGATCACTGTTCAAAAAGCAAAGCACAAGTGAGCAAGCCCTTAGACTACTGAGGTGCTCTGTGTTTTAAAGTGTAGTTTTCAATGTGTTAGTAAATCCATTGTAGAAAATCTTGAATTCAGATGTATGATCTGCAGCAGGCACAAATACAGTACAACACAAATAAGATTTCAGATAATCTCTGGGTCATCCAGATCCAGTTGAACAATAGATTTCAATTTTGTGGATGTCTATAGATACATTTGGATAATTTTCAGGTATAAATGCTATTGTGGCACACCTGTACGGCATGACAGATGCACAAAAAACCCCAAATAGTTTTAAAGAACTCAAGACAGATGTACAACACCCTTAAGTGCACGTCTGCCTTTCTTAAAGAGTAATAAAAATGTATTTTCTTTTTGATAGTATAGCTGCTTGAAATATTTGTTTTCTATCAACTTCCACAGCAGGCACACTTACTGACAAGCTAAATTTTTAGCGTGCACATTCAATATAAAAGGAAGGGAGGAGGCTTAAATGAGCTTGGAGACATTTCTGATTGAGTTCCCAGTGTAGAGACATTCCTTGGTATTGTAGGCAGGTGATAGGTGAGTGACATAAAGGGTTAATTTACTAAAGCCAGACTGTTCACTTTCCAGAGTTATTTTCCCTTAGCTTAGTAAATGAGGAAAAGCTCTGCTGACTTCCTTCATCCAATCATGTTCAAGCAAAAATACAATTTTTTTTTTATTTTTTTGCATGTGATTGGGTGTACTTTGGAAAAGTAAATTTTCACCTCATTTACTAAACTAAAGTAAAAATTCCCTTGCAAAATGAATCAACCCCATAGACTGTACATAAAAAGCAATGCCATTTTCCTCTTTATCCTATACAGCATTAAATCATAGTTGGGTTGTAGTGATCACATAAGTATGCAAATAAAAGTGAACCTGTTAGACCTACAGCATTCAACTAGCTACACTGGAAATGATCAGGCACAAGTCATTATCTATGTACCTGAAGGGGAACCTGGCTCCGTGGTCCAGGCAACACATTTGGCAAACAACAGTCCAAAGTGCAACTCCCCACATACTGTCCACTTAGGTTATGGTATCGAACTGTTAAATGCAATCTCCAGAATACACCCCTTCCTAAACAATGACACCACATAGCGCCTAATTCACTCCCTGGTCATCTTTTGCCTCAACGTCTACCACTCCCTCCTCATTGGATTACCTTTCCAGTCCATCAAAAATGCTGCTGTCAGGCTCATCCACCTTACCAATCTTTCAGTGTCTGCTACCCCTCTCTGCCATTCCCTCCACTGGCTTCCACTCAGCAATGAATTCAATTAAAAAAACTATCAACAATTTACAAAGCCATCCACAACTCGACCCCCGGCTACATCACTAACCTACTTTCAAAATGCCAACCAAATCATTCTCTTTGTTCCTCCCTAGACCAGCTACTCTAGTTCCATTGTCATTTCATCCCATGGTCACCTCCAGGGCTTTTCCTGAGCCTCTCCCAACCTATGGAATTCCTTACCCCAATCTGTCAATTTGTCCACGTACGACAATTCCTGAAAATCCTTCTCTTCAGGGAAGCCAATGTTGTCCCTGTATAATAACTGCACTTTTATTTTCTCCATCAGCCCATCCTCCACAGTTATTACCTTTTATATTACTTGACCTTCCCTTTTAAATTGTAAGCTCTAAATAGCAAGGCTTTCGGATTCCACCTGTATTGATTTGTATTGTAACTGTACTGTCTGTCCTCATGTCGTAAAGCAATGCACAAACTGGTGAGGGGTTTAGGCTTAGCACTGGAAGATGAACTATGAACCATCAAGGGTTAGTTTACTAGGTTTGGAGTTTAAGTCCCCCTTCCAGGCATACAGAAATTAATTTTGAAAATAAACACAGTACTTGCAGATGCCACAGCAGGGTGCCCACGCTCTATCACAGTTGGTATTTTACATGTTTTGAAGGTTGTGACAGGTGCCCACCCTCTGAACAGTCCGTTTTGGCTATATATAATATTTTTCCCTACATACCTTATTTTCATCAATCCAGTCTCCACTTCCGGTCTTGGCCGCCTTGGCTATTTCGTCATTAGGCAATTCCCTAGGTTTTCTGGGCTTATTATTATTATACAGGATTTATATAGCGCCAACAGTTTTCTCAGCGCTTTACAATATAACGGGAGACAATACAGGAACAATACAGTTCAATAAAAGAGGGATAGGAGGACCCTGATCCTTGGAGCTTACAATCTAGGAGGGAGGGGCTAGTGGTACAAAAGGTAGTAACTGTGGGGGATGGACTGGTTGGAAGAGTGGAAGATTCCATTATTAGCTGGGGGCAGGATAGGCTTCCCTGAAGAGATAGGTTTTCAGAGATTGCCTAAAAGTGAGCAGAGTAGGCGATAATCTGATAAATTGGGGTAGAGAGTTCCAGAGGATGGGGGAAGCTCTGGAGAAGTCCTGGAGACGAGCATGGGAGGAGGAGACAAGGGAGCTAGAAAGTAGGAGGTCTTGCGAGGAGCGTAGAGTACGGTTTGGGTGATATTTGGAGACAAGATCGATGATGTAATTTGGGGCAGAGTTATAAATGGCTTTATACGTTATTGTGAATGTTTTGAATTTTATCCGTTGGGCAATGGGAAGCCAGTGGAGGGATTGGCAGAGAGGGGTGGCAGATACAGAACGGTTAGTAAGGTGGATGAGTCTGGCAGCAGCATTCATGATAGACTGAAGAGGGGATAGCCTGCGATGAGGTCAGGCAATGAGGAGGGAGTTACAATAGTCGAGGCGAGATATAACAAGGGAGTGAATAAGTTGCTTAGTGGTTTCCGAGGTTAGGAACAGTCGTATCTTGGAGATGTTGCGGAGGTGAAGTCTACAAGGTTTGGACAGTGATTGGATTTGGGGCTGAAAGGACAGATGGGAGTCTAGGATTACACCTAGTACCCTGACATGAGGGGAGGGACTGATGATTGTGTTATTGATTTTGATGGAGGAGTCAGGGGGGGGGGGGCACGGGCTGGGGGGAATACTAAGAGCTCAGCTTTGGAAAGATTGAATTTGAGGAAGTGAAGTGACATCCATGCTAATATGTCACTTAGCAGGTTAGTAATGCGAGAGGAGACTGAAGGGGTGAGCTGAGGGGTAGAAAGATAGATTTGTGTGTCATCAGCATAGAGATGGTACTTAAAGCCATGGGGGATATTGGCGTTATCTATCCCAGGAGTCCTAGGGATGCCTAATAGCAAAACCTAATGTTATTAGGAAACAGGGATGTTTCGACGAGATGATTGAAATGTTGCCATAACAATGGGGTGGAAACCTCTACCACTGCAATCCAACAAATGAACCGCACTGTCTTCACACTGTGCAGGCGCGAGATCGGGAGGTGCATGTAGGGTAACCAGTTTCACCGTATCCCAGAAGAAAGGGCGGCTGGGCTGCCTACAGTGAAGATGGATGAGTATGTGATTGTGAGGAAGTAGTAAGTAAATAAAAAAAAAAACATGCAAAAGAACGATAACATATGCAGCTTATGCCAATTTGCATGGCATAAGCTGTGACTGTCGGGGGGAGGGGGTGATTAAAAAAAAAAAAGACTGGAACTCTACTTTAATTTTCAGTTTTCTGGGTTAAATTAAATACTTCTTTTATGTGTATTCCAAATTTGTTCTTAAAGAGCATCTAAAGTCAAAACTTGTTTTTTTCAACTTACAGTACAGACTCTTGGTATAGCTCTGCATAGAAACCAATTATCTTCCAGGTTTTACATCAAAGCCGATTTTGAAATTGTGCGACTTACAGTGAAGTCGCACGATTTAAAAATCGGGTGACCTGCTGATTTCATTGTGATTTGCAAGACAGCTGACACAGATGTCTATGCAAATCGCAACAAAAGCAGTGAATGCACTACTTTAGAAATCAGTGAGGCTCCAACCAAGTTGGAACTGCACTAATATGACCGCTCTAATAGCGGACAATAGGGTGCAACTTGGCATACGATTTGCAAGTCGCCTGGCATGCAAACCGCATGCCAAGTCGCACCCGGTGTGACTGGGGGCTTATTGCCAAAGCTTAACTGAACAAGCCGAAGTTTGAAGCTGATTAGGCTACTATGCGCAGCTGCCCCAGATTCTGTGTGGACCAGTTTGAGTAAATCTCCCCCATATAATAATTTATTGAATGTGGTTTCTAAGCACCACGCATGCGCGATGGAGCTATACATTACTGGACATGTAGTCTTGATGAGGGGAATCCAATGGCTGTAAATGAAGCAATATGTGTGCACTAAGGGGATTCCAGGTTGCAGCTTTGATATGTACATAAAAGTAAGTGTTTCAGGATTGGTTTTGAAAGAACCATATTATTTTGTGCTGAATTTATTGATACAGATTTATTAAAGAAAAAAACCCTTTTTACCACTACTTTAATCTTAATTACCATTACCTACTTTATCCAAAACTAAAAAGTTTGAGCTTAAGCTATACTTTAGCTGTTAATCTAGAGCTGCTTTATGATGTTGGTATTTATGAAATGCTACATGTTTCTTTTTTGTTATCTCTAAAAAATAACATTGACATTGTTTGTGTGGCATTTTTGTTTCTAAGTCAAATTTCCCTGCCCACCGACAAGGCCTTTCCGCTGCCACAACAACCGTGTGTGCCTAAGGACAACGCAGATTTGCAATGAACTGGATGAGTGCGGCGATAACTCTGATGAGGTTCACTGTGGTACGTAGAATTTACCCTGCTCAGCTCTGAGACTAAATTAACCTAATCTGAGAGGAACCTTCGGTGAAAAACATAATTGACCTTAATTGAAGTCTTAATTGAAAGTTTATGTGTGCCATAAATTAGGTTCTGAAACAATTATATTTGAAACGCATGAGGAACTTTCTGCTTCTTGGTCAGTGGCTCTACATGCTGGCTGCATTTTAATGAGCATGCAAGGCTAATTGTGATTTATTTTGTTTTCCTAAAATTTGGTAGGTACAAAGCAGAAAGTGAAACCTTGCAAGAAGGATGAGTTCACCTGTGGTAATAAAAAGTGTATCGCATCAGAGCTGCAGTGTGACCAGTTTGATGACTGTGGAGATGGAAGCGATGAGCGAGGCTGCAAAGCAGGTACATTTCCTGGTATTATGAAACCTTGTCTTCTAGCAATCTGAACAGCAGATCATTTGTGAAACTCCACTTCTGTTGAGAAGAAAATAAACCTCCCCAAGACCAGTTACTGTGTGTATTTTGCAAAGATTTTAGCAATCAAAATTGCAATTGAATTTTGCATTAAATTTTAGCAATCTCCAATTGCAGAACCCTACTTGCTTCTGTTCTAAGGTGATTGCTCTAACTCTCTTAGAGATGAATTCCAGGTATGGATATTTTATACAATGTTACATTGATCCAGCTAGGATCAATGGAATGGATCATACCTGGCCGATGTCCCTGGAAGCAGGAAATCACTGTAGTAGACACGACTACTCCGGTGATCTCCAGTTGCTTCCAGGTCCCATGTTGAGCGGCTGGCCAGCTGCATTCAGAACACAGGTCAACTGCAGAGCAGGGGCACTTTTCAGTAAATGCTTTGCGTTTTCTGAATGAATGCAAAGCATTCTCTGACTGAACAAGCTGCAGAGGCAAAGAGGTGACATCATACTGTCCACCTCATCCAATCAGATACTGCTTTGCATACATTAGGAAAATGCAAAGCATTCTCTGAATGGTGCCTGTGTCCTACTTAGCACAGGACCTGGAATAAGTTGGGATACCTTGAGTAGCGATGTCTACTTCAGTGATTTCCAGCTTCCAGGGGCATCAGTCAAGTATGCTATATACATAATTAAATATATGTATAGCCGTGCGCCCATGCTCATCCTGAAGAAATACTATAAACAGCAGCAAACACAAAAAAAGTGATGACGAAACATGTCGGACGGAGCTACGCACTGACATCATCAAGGTCTGGGGAACGGTGTATTGATGCCGGCTTTTGTGTATTTACATGTGCATGTTGTTTTTAACAAATGTCAGTATATTTTTATGAAATAAATTAATCCTTGAAAAGATTTTGCACTATGGAGAAGCTCTCTTCCTTCTTTGGCCTTACATGATAAGATCATACTGGGTGGATCTGTTCCTGTCCATTAGCGGTACCTCTGTACACTATCGAGGCTGCTGTATGAGCACACATTGGAAGATAATCTATTAAGCTCTATCTGACCATCCTTATTATTAGATGGCCAAAGCAAGCGGGTAAGCGTGCATCCCGTAACCACTTTGGGTGAAGGTATTGGTCACTGACACTTCACAATAGTTGGATGGGTTACATTTTTTCACACAGTTGCACTGGTCAATATTGGATGGGACTTTTTCTTCATTCATATGGACTTTTCTGTTTCTGTATATAAAGACTTTGTTTCATACACACATTGTATTTACATTGTTTATCTGATATGTGATGTTTATATAATTTTAACACTGAGATATATATTGTTTCTTAGTGCAAAACATTCATATACAGTTGCAAGAAAAAGTATGTGAACCCCTTGGGATTACGTGGAGTTTTGCATGAATTGGGCATAAAATGTGCTCTGAACATCATCTAAGTCACAACAATAGAAGAACACAGTCTGCTGAACATAATACTACACAAACATTAGATGTTGCCATGGTTTAATTGCACATAACATGTAAACATTCACAGTGCAGGGAGGAAAAAGTATGTGAGGCCCTAGCTTAATGACTTCTCCCAGAGCTAATTGGAGCCAGGAGTGAGCCAACCTTGACTCCAATCAGTGGGATGATATTGGATGTGTTGCTGACAGCTGTCCTGCCCTTAAAAAACACACACCTGTTTTGGATTTACTGGTTTCAAGAAGCACTGTCTGATGTGAACCATGCCTCGCAGAAAAGAGCTCTCAGAAGACCTACGATCAAGAATTGTTGACTTGCATGAAGCTGGAAAGGGTTACAAAAGTATCTCCAAAAGCCTTGATGTTCATGTGTCCACGGTAAGACAGACTGTCTACAAATGGAGAAAGTTTAGAACTGTTGCTACTCTCCCTAGGCGTGGTCGTCCTGTAAAAATGACTGCAAGAGCACAGCGCAGAATGCTGCATGAGGTAAAGAAGAATCCCAGAGTGTCAGCTAAAGGCCTACAGAAATCTCTGGCACATGCTAACATTTTTGTTGACACATCTACAATAAGGAAAACATTAAACAAGAATGGAGTACATGGGAGGACACCACGGAGGAAGCCATTGCTGTCCAAAAAGAATATTGCAGCACATTTGAAGTTTGCAAAAGAGCACCTGGATGTTCCACAGCACTACTGGCAAAATATACTGTGGACAGATGAAACCAAGATTGAGTTGTTTGGGAAGAACACACAACACTATGTGTGGAGAAAAAAAGGCACAGCACACCAACATCAAAACCTCATCCCCACTGTAAAACATGGCGGAGGGAGCATCATGGTTTGGGGCTGCTTTGCTGCCTCAGGGCCTGGACGGATTGTTGTCATTGATGGGAAAATGAATTCCAGAGTTTATCAAGACATTTTGCAGGAAAACGTACTACCATCTGTCCGCCAACTGAAGATCCGCAGAGGATGGGTGATGCAACAGGACAATGACCCAAAGCATACAAGTAATTCAACAAAACAATGGCTGCAACAGCACAGAATACGCCTTCTGGAGTGGCCCAGTCAGAGTCCTGACCTCAACCCGATTGAAATGCTGTGGCATGACCTTAAGAGAGCGATTCACACCAGACATCCCAAGAATATTGCTACACTGAAACAGTTTTGTAAAGAGGAGTGGTCCAAAATTACTCCAGATCGTTGTGCAGGTCTGGTCTGCAACTACAGGAAACGTTTGGTTGAGGTTATTGCTGCCAAAGGAGGGTCAACCAGTTATTAAGTCCAAAGGTTCACATACTTTTTCCTCCCTGCACTGTGAATGTTTACATGTTATGTGCAATTAAACCATGACAACATCTAATGTTTGTGTAGTATTATGTTCAGCAGACTGTGTTCTTCTATTGTTGTGACTTAGATGATATTCAGAGCACATTTTATGCCCAATTCATGCAAAACTCCACGTAATCCCAAGGGGTTCACATACTTTTTCTTACAACTGTATGCATGCTATATACAGTGGGGCAAAAAGTATTTAGTCAGCCACCAATTGTGCAAGTTCTCCCACTTAAAAAGATGAGAGAGGCCTGTAATTGGCATCACAGGTAGACCTCAACTATGAGAGACAAAATGAGAAAAAAAATCCAGACAATCACATTGGCTGATTTGGAAAGAATTTATTTGCAAATTATGGTGGAAAATAAGTATTTGGTCAATATCAAAAGTTCATCTCAATACTTTGTTATATATCCTTTGTTGGCAATGACAGAGGTCAAACGTTTCCTGTAAGTCTTCACAAGGTTGGCACACACTGTTGCTGGTATGTTGGCCCATTCCTCCATGTAGATCTCCTCTAGAGCAGTGATGTTTTGAGGCTGTCGTTGGGCAACACAGACTTTCAATTCCCTCCAAAGGTTTTCTATGGGGTTGGGATCCTATCGATCTGGAGACTGGCTAGGCCACTCTAGGACCTTGAAATGCTTCTTACGAAGCCACTCCTTCGTTGCCCGGGCGGTATGTTTGGGATCATTGTCATGTTGGAAGACCCAGCCACGTTTCATCTTCAATGCCCTTGCTGATGGAAGGAGGTTTGCACTCAAAATCTCACGATACATGGCCCCATTCATTCTGTCCTGTACATGGATCAGTCGTCCTGGTCCCTTTGCGGAGAAACAGCCCCAAAGCATGATGTTGCCACCCCCATGCTTCACAGTAGGTATGGTGTTCTTTGGATGTAACTCAGCATTCTCTCTCCTCCAAACACGACGAGTTGTGTTTCTACCAAACAGTTCTGTTTTGGTTTCATCTGACCATATGACATTCTCCCAATCCTCTTCTGGATCATCCAAATGCTCTCTAGCAAACTTCAGACGGGCCCGAACATGTACTGGCTTAAGCAGGGGGACACGTCTGGCACTGCAGGATCTGAGTCCCTGGCGGCGTAGTGTGTTACTGATGGTAGCCTTTGCTATGTTGGTCCCAGCTCTCTGCAGGTCATTCAATAGGTCCCCCCGTGTGGTCCTGGGATTTTTGCTCACCGTTCTTGCGATCATTTTGACCCCACGGGGTGAGATCTTGCGTGGAGCCCCAGATCGAGGGAGATTATCAGTGGTCTTGTATGTCTTCCATTTTCTAATTATTGCTCCCACAGTTGATTTGTTCACACCAAGCTGCTTGCCTATTGCAGATTCAGTCTTCCCAGCCTGGTGCAGGTCTACAATTTTGGTTCTGGTGTCCTTCGACAGCTCTTTGGTCTTCATCATAGTGGAGTTTGGAGTGTGACTGTTTGAGGTTGTGGACAGGTGTCTTTTATACTGATAACAAGTTCAAACAGGTGCCATTGATACAGGTAATGAGTGCAGGACAGAGGAGCCTCTTAAAGAAGAAGGTACAGGTCTGTGAGAGCCAGAAATCTTGCTTGTTTGTAGGCGACCAAATACTTATTTTCCACCATAATTTGCAAATAAATTCTTTCCAAATCAGCCAATGTGATTGTCTGGATTTTTTTTCTCATTTTTTCTCTCATAGTTGAGGTCTACCTATGATGCCAATTACAGGCCTCTCTCATCTTTTTAAGTGGGAGAACTTGTACAATTGGTGGCTGACTAAATACTTTTTTTGCCCCACTGTACATAGTGATTCAAGGTAGGCCTGTGTAGCTATGTATATATAAAATATTCAAACCTGTAGGCTAAATGGTAGGGCTTCCTATACTCATTGAGTGAGTCACAGTGTTGCAAAAAAGGAGAAAACCTGCAATACGGTAAATATTCCAGGTGTGTAGCACTCTTGGTGCACTCTATGGTCAATGTGTGGACACCTGACCATCACACCTACATGAGAATGTTGAACATCCCATTCCAAAACCATGGGTATTATTATAGAGTTGCCCCTCCCCCATGTAGCTATAACAGCCTCTGCTCTCCTGGGAAGGCTTTCCAAAAGATTTTGGTGGGCGGTTGAGGTAATTTATGCCAATTCAGCCAAA